TCATCGCAAGAGGCTCTGAAAGTTGCCCAGCTTCTGAACCTGCGGACTCGATCTCAGTATTTCATTTATGATAAAACGGAATATTCATGGGAAGGGCAAAGAACGTTATTGGTCGAGCCCATTGTATTTCACGTCCCGCTTACTTTTTTCCTCAGCAAGCTTTCCCCTCCAACTAAAAACCGAAAACACGTCTGATAAGGAACAAAGTTTTTATGAGTAGTTTGGCAGCTTCCTTCTTTCTATGCCCCCGATGGTATTTCTGCATGTAATCTTTTTGTTGTTTCAGGAACTCGCTGAACATGCCGGCAAAATCAATATTAATGGAGGAAACGTGAATGTAAGTGATTTACCCTTACAATCAACGTCAAATCAAATAAAGGTTGTTACTCCTCCTATCAAGAAAAACAACGTTAGATTTTCAATAATTGATGAAATCTGTTGCGGATGTACGCTGTAGCAAACCATTTGCTCCAGTCGCAAAGCTATCGGCTAGCAAATGCACGTCTGTGAGCTGCTGCGTCATTCGCCGCGCGACGCGCCTGCGTGCCGCGGACGCTGTTCATACCGATCCCTTCGCTTCATAATTTGCTTAGCAAATGAATGAATACGAGCGTCAGGAACGGTCGTCCATTTGTGGGCGGGCGGGCGTGGCGGGCGTTTGGGACGTAAATGTTGTGGCTTGATAGGGCACCTTCCTCGGGGAAACCGCTATGCAGCGCCTGCCCAGGGTCGCGGAATTCTATCCTGCCAGGAGTATTGATCCTAGTCGTCTTGGGGGATTTATCGTGTCAACTGCCTTTAACGCGAAGCCTTGAGCTGCTGCAAGGCTGTTGCCTATGACTCAGCCCACCTATGGTGACTTGAGGATTGCCAACTTCGCGGTAAACACGCGCAAGAGTGATAAAATGAGTTCCAGCGCATGAAAAGCCTTCAGCCTCACAATCCTCGGCTGACGGGATCATTACAGGCGTTAAGTGTAAGGGTGATGCAAGGCTACGGCACAAAAGGCATTGAGCTGATTTTGTAGGAGTGGGCCTAACGGATAAAGCGCTCCGTGGGGTTCCATCTGGACCTCGGTCTTAACTCCAGATGGAACATCAAGCTTTTTCGATTACCTTAAGCTTCGGGTGCTACTTCAACAATTTGGTGAAATCTGCACCAGGTAAGACATGACGTAGCCAGCGTGACGAGTTCAACAGTTGAGTATATAAGTTGAGATTCGTTAGAACAAAGCGTGGCCATTACCCTTCCTATCCCGGACGGCTCGACCTATAGCATCCGAAATGTTTCCTACATCTCTGAAGGGCGATACACTACAAGATTCATCGCAAGAGGCTCTGAAAGTTGCCCAGCTTCTGAACCTGCGGACTCGATCTCAGTATTTCATTTATGATAAAACGGAATATTCATGGGAAGGGCAAAGAACGTTGTTGGTCGAGGCCATTGTATTTCACGTCCCGCATACTTTTTCCTCAGCAAGCTCTCCCTCCAACCAAAACCGAAACACGTGGGACGAAGGAAACAAAGTTTTTTACTGAGTAGTTTTGGCAGCTCCCCTTGCCCTTCTGATGCCCCCCATGTCATTCTCTAACATTGTAATCTTTTCGTTGTTTCCCAGGCACTCCGCTGAACAAGCCGCGAGAATCAATACTTAATTCGCGAGGAATCGCCTGATGTAAGTGAATTACCGGTTGCAACTCAACCGTAAAGATTAAAAATACAAGGGTTGTTAATACGGCGCTCGTTATCGACCCTAGGCGGCGCACTTGTACTACCGCGTCGTGCTTCCCTTCGTTCCGAAGTTTATCAAATCCCTTCGCGTAACAACTTGCTGGACAGTCTTGCTAAAGCTGCAGAGCACCGAATCGCTCCTAGCCACTATCCTAAAACGTGTCAACTCGAGAAACGGCTACCTAGATGGGTCGACACATCTGGAAAAGCAAAATGCCCCCCCCCGTCGATAAACTGCGCCGGATCATTAGTTGTTTCAAAAAGGCACGAGAACAACGTAGGTTGCATTCATACTTTGCGACAGCGTCCAGCAGCGTCCGCCAGCGACCGTTCGCGTCTTGAGAGACTAGAAAAGTATGGTATCGATGTGGCGTCTACCAGCGACCAGGAGTAGAGTGTATTATTAGGAGGGTAGCAGACACATGGATAGTATGGGGAAGGGAGGAGACATCTGAATTAGGCGGTCAGTGAATTCGTGCAAATGTGCAAGCGCACCGTAATACTACATCATACCGTGACCCTGGAAGCTGGTAGACTCTCGCACACACTAGATCGATATCCGTATTTAGACCTCTGAAACCTGATAGTCGCTGGTACACGTTGGTAGACGTTGCCGTTCGCTAGATCGATATCTATACTTTCTTACCATTACTCGCGTCGCTGACGGACGCTCGAAAGGCTGATGGTCGCCGGTGGACGCTGCCGCAAAGTATGAATGCAGCTTTATCGTACTTTTCAGAATGCAGCTTCACGCGTTGCGCCGTTCAAGCCGACCGAGGAGCAGAAACATTTTTTGATGCTTCACGAGTACAGATTGCACGAGAAATGTGACACAGCAATCGCGAATATCAATCAAGCATGGGGTCAAGAAACCTTCGGTTCTCAATGGCAGCTGAGACCAGAAGATATTCGTTTCTTGATACTTCACGAGTATCTACGGAATACAAAAGCCGCTGAAGCAACCAGGAGGATCAATCGAGCATGGGGTGAAAAAACGATTTCGGAGTCTGCTGTCCGTGATCGCTTCCGTAGATTTGACAAAGGGGACTTCAAGTTGAGTGAAGGGCGAAGGAGCACAACACCCACAAGGAATCAATCATGAATCTTTGGCAAGATTGAGTTTTATTCAAATTTCTGAAGAATATTTATGTTGCCACATTCACATTAGAGCACTACACTTGGAAGGAGAGCTTTTCAACTGTTTCCATGCCTGTTTGTCTAGCAATAAAAATCAGTATTTGGCTCGCTTGTTATCTATATGACAGCTTCATTTGGTCTTGCTTAACTCCGTGGAACTCCGTGGCAGTTGTTCTTTTTATTAGGTTTTCACTTTTTTGCATGACTTATTCAAAGAGGAGGAAACGGTGCAGTGGCAGTGGCTTACCACCCTGCGTTACGCTGGTCAAATCCTGGATGGGATACTTCCCAGACCAGCCTGGTCTTCTACCCTGGAGGGTCGGTGAATTGCTACCAGAACGGCTAGGAATGATGGAACCACTGGCTTGTACATGGGCTGGCCCACAGAAGTGATTTTACAGGCCATATCAAACGATGAGTCACTACTATTCTGCATGGAAATATGCGTGCCGCATCCTAGGAGGGGTTTGATCAGCGGCAAAACGAAGTTATACAAGACCTGCCTTGCTACTTTGTACCTTGCGGCTGTGCACTGGCCTGAAGGGCGTCTGTTGCTCGCAATCAAAAGGAAACGAATAAAAAAACAGAACAATATGTTACATGGCTCTCTTTGAACGTCATAGCTGCTTTCTCACCAAGGCCTACATATCAGAACCTGGTGGAGTTCGAGAGGACAAGACCTCCCCCAAGCTCCAATGGTTCGGCAAAGATATGCCTTGGCAATTTAACCCTTGCACGCTGTCTATAACCTTTCCCCACTACTTGGCCACAAGGGCAACAGTCGCGCTTGTTCACCGTTGTTTTGTCCTCATGAAGGTTACAGGAAGTGTAAGGACACTTATAGAATCCTTTGTAAATCGTAGAAAGCAAGCGAAGGAAAACAGTGAACACTTTACAAGGCTAAAATTCTGTCTTCCCAGATGCAATTCTAGCGCTGAATCGAACAAAACGTCATCAGGACGTGCAATATTTCCCCTTCCCAACAAACTCTACAGTTTTCCTGGAGACCTGCTAGTTCAGAAGATGTTTCAAATGGGTCCACTTTCTGGCGACATTCTGAGGCCACTTGAAAGCTCCACTCCTGCTGTACCGTTGTAAAGACACTCCAGTCAGCGACCCTTCAATATGCTTTTCAAAGACACATTATTTTTCTCGTTGGGTCAAAAGTATAACTTGGTATCTCGGTATTTTCGAATTTCGGCTCCAATGTGCCGCGCTTCGTGCATCACGCTTCTCTGCAGAGCTGGTAGAAAGGTACAACTTCCGGTTTTAGGCAATTTTTTTCATGCAAGCAGATGTTTAATCAGACTTTGGAAAGATCGATCGTCGACAGGAATCTGCTTGAGATTATTATTTGGTCATCTACGTATGAGTTCATGCCAACTATTGAGAAAAAGATAAAGGATAATCTCTTAGCTCTTGATCAATCCCTTTGTGGAATACGGCACCCATGCTACTATCACTCAGAATCGTAGTTGCTTACTGAATGCGATGCGGACTACAATGACTTGCGAGGGCCAGCCGATGTACAAGTCAGTGTTTCATTCTCCCAGACGATCTGCATACCTAGCGCCGATAGAGGCTTGGTTTGGCGCGGGTTTGGTGGGAGCCGACCTGGACTCGAGCCTAGGACCGCGAGAATGGTAGGCGCGCCACTTGTCACTACACCACCTACACCACACCCATTTGACAATGCTAATCAATTATTTCAGTATTATGTAGTCTTCCTTACATCCCGGTCCTCTGCAGCTTTTGCGTGCCGCCTCCAATCAGAGTTAGCGCATGTCAATTGGTTTGAATGACCAATGGATTAGGCACCCATCCCCTCCCAGCTGCGTCCCCCTCCTCGCCGAGCCGGTTTCGCATAACAGTGTTGTACCCGGTCACCAGCGTCATCAGCGTTCCGCGTCTTTCAGCGTAAGCGAATAGGATAGTATAGATATCGGCCAAGCGAATGGCAGCGTCTACCTACCAGCGTCTATCAGCGTCTACCGGCGATCAGGAGTAGAGTGTATGAGGATCTAATTAGGGAGGAAACAGCTTAACTGGGCGTCATGAAATTGTGCGACCGTGCTACTACACAATGTCGTACTTCTACTCACGGTGAGCCGCTCAGCCCCACCATGTCAAACGTCGCTGAGTGCTGTAGGCTACGGCATAAAAGCCCATTTGAGCTGAGTATGGTCAAGCGGCCCTGGCGGCGTAAGGGTAGCGCACTCTGCCGGAAACGTGAGGTGCAGACGCAAAAACAGCGGTATCATTATATGCAGTTGAGTACTGTATAGGTAGTCGTCAGCAGCCCTGTTGCTAGACGTGTCATAAAGTCCACTTTAACCTACCTCACTGCTGCCGCATCTGTGGCGCTCTTTGTTCTCACAGTGCAACTTCACCTATCTCCACTCTTCCCTAGACCACACGGTTCCCAAAAC